ATTGGTATCCGGAGATTTTGGTGGCCATTGTGCGCTGGAATTGTAGCGAGGAACCTAATTTTGAAACCATTTTTCGGTGGCGCGTGCTGAGTGCGATGGTGCTGAGTCCTGTTGGAATTTCCAAGGTCTGCGGCCAAAATGTTTACGTGCCCAATGCTTTAATACACCCTCCAGAATATGTTCGCTATGATATTCGGCATTTATTCTGATGCAACGGTCGACTAATACGAGCGGACAGCGAGTACTGGCTTTTATGGCGGCCCACACTATGACTACACCATGGTCGGCGCTTGAGTTCTGGTGGCCAACCGAAGGTGCACATTTTCAGCTGACCTCTTTGGCAACTAAATCCGATCAGTTTGTTTGTTTACAAACTGCTGTACAACGAATGTTTTCTCATCAGAGATCGGAGAAACCAAATTCGGTAGTTCACCACTTTCGGCCAAGCGAAGCAACTCTTTAGCTCTTTTGAGTCTATTTTCTTTTTGTTGCGGTGTAAGTTCTTGCACTTTTTGGAATTTCAATGGCTTTACCCCGAGCTCATTTTTCAATATTTACCGAATGGAATATTGCGATATGTTCAGCTCACAAGCCATTTTTTGGCGGCCACTGCGAGGCGGGTTTCGACCAAGTCGCTTTTTTACTTTTCGAACCATTTCTGCTGATGTTGCTGTTTTCTTCCATCCACTTCCTTGACGTCGGACAACGCTACCAGTATCACGGTAACGAGCGATGGTGCGAGACACAAATGATTTATTCACATTTAAATGCTGGAGTGCTCTAACGATAGCCACTTGTGGTTTTCCAGCAAATATAGAGAAATCACACTATCACGCTTGAATTCCATCACGAATAACTTTTTTTTTTTTTTCTCACCAAAACGCTTTTGTGCATTTGTAAAAAATATAATGAGCTGTCACTGGAATAATTTTAACAGCTGTTGGTTCAGAAATGACTGCAGTCTGAAGTTGGTTGCAGTTTTTTCATCTTACCTTGTACAGTATATGACCTCTTTGGTGCAGTGGGAAAAATCGGACAAGATTGAAACGATACGACGTATAGATGGCGCTCAGGTCATAAACTTTTCTGAGATGATCGCTTGTTGTTCCAAAATAAATTTTATTTTTCAGAATGTCTGTTATCTGATCATATTGTATGATTTTGTCTATACCACAACATTGACCTACATTTACTTATTTTTTATAAATTCTCTTCTACTTAACCCCAATATAACACTCCTTATAACATTAAGGCAAATTCATTTATATAACAAAGAACTACCTTGAACTTGAATTTTTTGAATAAATTATTTTAACGACATCTGGAGTCGATTTAGTCCTTTTTAGGACATCCTTTTAACGACATCTGGAGCCTACCTAATTCATCAAATTAGAACCAATATCCAGTGAAAATTCTCATTACTAGTCATGAAGAAGGTATTTTTTTACTTTACGTTTTAAGGGGTTATTCCACTCCTGCACTCCCTAATTTCACTAGGTTTATTTGAAATAGCCTTATTTTCACACGAAATAATCTCTTTTATTTGCCAGTCTTTAACTAAGACACTTCGCATCATTACGACGTGTTCTTTATCAAGAACATTCAAGTGAATTATTTTTAATACCTACCCCCAAAAGATGTGTTTAAATAAAACCAATCAAACGAGAAAAAAGAAAGCAAACACTTATCATTCATACCTGGGGATTCCGCCGTTCAATTCATCCGGCAGTGATACATCTCCATGTCGTGTCGGCATTTTATTCAATTACAAACAAAAATTTGATCAATTTCGATGTCTGTCTGTCTGTCTGAGAGAGAGATGGAAGTTTTGTGCGACAAATCAGTTGGGGAAAAACGAAAGCGTAATGATTTAAATCGCATTATTTACACCACAGCGAACGAAAGCGACACACACACACACAAACAAACATCTAAAAAAGGAGGCTATGGAGGAAGAAGAGCGCTTCTTCATGCAAAGCACGTGTAATTTGTCATGCGGAAAAATCATTGTAAATGACAATACGGTTAAACACAACACAACACTGCACGCACGAACACACTCGCACACACTCAAACACACGCACACACACACCCATCAACACACTTTGGGAGTTTCTGGTGACAACAATGACAATTTGACAAAACCAGCAACAGTGAGAGCTTGTCACTTGATTCCCTGCGCTTTATGAAATAAACACACAGAAAAAAAGCTGGCGCTGATGGGTGAGAAAGGAGATCATCAACCAGCCAGCCAACTAACTGGATGGCTGACTGACTTACTGTCTGCCTGCCTGACTACCTCGCAAACACAAAACACCAAACAACAAGCAACGAACCCAAACATCAAAAAAGAAAATATAATTTATCAAAAAGTCTAAGAGTATCTTTCCGAAGATATAAACAACAGCATAACGGCACGTCGCTACCAAAAGGAACTTTGAGGTTATGACATTTATGCGTGGAACTCTAGTCGAGGTGTAGCCCAAGTCCCTCACCTCTGTTGCCACACTTATGACACAAAAGCCATGTACTTATAGCCAGTGAACTGTGTCACACAAATCGAGTCAAACTCTAATGGTGTGAGAGTGAAGTAGGGAGAGCGGACGAGGAAGAGGAGGAGGAGAAGAGAGAGCAGTTTATGCAAAGTGTGTTAGGCTGACAGAATGACTTGCTGCTCTGCCTTTGTTTTGTTGCAAAGGAATTATTTAAACCACACTGATGCTTTCACCACACCACACTCCCACACACATATGTACATTGACACATTCATAAAACTAACACATTGAAATGCAATAAAATAAAACATAAAAGCAACTCAGCAACAGAGTTTGTAACAACGTCAGTATTTCTCAAAGCCACTCTAGATGCCTTACCTGTCCCATAAAAAGCGTAACATAACGCTTATCGTTTTAAGACTTTGAGCCTGCACATATTCCCTAGTTTTTATGCCCTCCACCATACATGGATGGAGGGTATATTTAGTTCATCATTCCGTTTGTAACTCATCGGAATAATGATTTTAGACCTAACAAAGTATATGTATTCTCGATTAGCATAACATTTTAAGACGATTTTGCCCTGTCCGTCCACCCGTCCGTCCGTTTGTTGCAATCATGCTAGAGTCAAAACGAATAAAGAGAGGAAGCTAAAATTTTGCACAGATCAGTCTTTTGTCTGCAGGCAGTTTAAGTTCGAAGATGCGCTATATCGGTCCACGATATCGTATAGCCTCCATATAACGGAACCCCCCGATATTCGGTATGATTGATGATTGTAGCCAAGTTTTTCAAAGAAATTGTCTAAAAATCCACAAAAGTTGTTCCTTCTGAGTACTTTACCCCCTGGAAGAGTATTGTCTATATAGGTCCACTATATCGTATATCTCGCATATAATGGTACCTGCCTATATTCGGTTTTTTTTTTTTTTTTGATGATTTTAGCTACATTTTTCAATGGAATTGCCTAAAAATCCATACTATGAGTTCTTTCTAAGCACGTTACACCCTGGAAGAGAAAAGTCTATATAGGTCCACGATATCGTATAGCCCACATACAACGGTACCCTCCGATATTGGGTATTTTGGACGATTTAATGGACATTATTCATCGGAGTTGTTTCAAATTTCGTATTTAGAGTTGGTAACGGGAACTACAGTCTATGACATAAAATTGTCTATGAAGGTCCACGTCTTCCTATAGGCTCCATATATCGGTACCTCCTCATATTCGGTATTTTGATGATTTTCGCCACATTATTGTTGTTTCAATTTTCGTAATGGGTACTACAGCCTATCCCAGAATATTGTCTATGCAGGTCCAGGTCTTCCTATAGGCCCCATATATCTGTACCTCCCCATATTCGGTATTTTGATGATTTTAGGTACAATATTCGTCGAAATTGTGCGAAATTTCATATTTGAAGTATCTAATAGGTACTACATCTAGTGACAGAAAATTATCTATGCAGGTCCATGTCTTCGTATAACCCCAATATATCGGTACCTCTACCTATATGCGGTATTTTTTTAGATTTTAGCTACATTATTCACCGGATTTTTTCAAGTTTCGTATTTGAATATTGTAATGGCTTATGACAAAAATTGCCTATACAGGTCCACGTCTTTATATAGACCCCAATAAAACGGCCATATTTGGTAATTTTAAGATTTTAACCGAATTTTTTAACGGATTTAATTTTTTTCAAATTGTGAAGGGCATTTAGAATTCGGCCCATTCAAATTTACTGCTTTTTTCTTTGTTTATCTACATATCACAAAAACGAATAGAAAATATCTTTAAGTTTTATTATGCACTTGCTTTTCAATAAATGTTAATGGGTAGTGGGTTATGTGTGGGGTTGCATAGGTGACAGTTTGAATTTCAATTGAATGCCAAGATCATACTATATTGTCACTACCATACTGAAGTCACTATTATTTATTACTCTTTTATATTATTTATTTATATTATTATTTTTTTTTTAAAAAAACCTTTTTAAACAACTCTGCTATAATCCAATTTCTTTAGTTCATAATTCCTTACTCTCTGAGAAACTTACTGCTCACATTCCCATTGTTTCACTCATTTGCTCTTATGTTAAAGCAGCGGTGCTCAAGAAAAAATACCTCTTTTCAGTCAAATTTCTCTTTGCTTATTTAAATCAAGAACAAAACAGTGTTAAGTCATTATTTATACAAATATTTTTTATCCATTTGCTTTATAAATTATTTTGGCAAACATTCGTGTTTAAAAACAATTAAATAGAACCGTAAAATATGAAGAAAAACAGAATTTTAATTATCTTTAAATTATATCTTTTTTCTCTTCATGTTCTAGAACACGGTTTTGAGCACCGCTGTTTATAATAACATGTATTTTGTTAAAGAGTTAGCTCTTAAACATATGATCAAACGGGGAAAATTTACGGAAATTGACATTACTTTCTCGATCTCAAATAAATTTGTGAATAATCTTAAGAATCTTCCTCTCATGCATTTTAGAGAAAATAACAAAAATCCCCATATCAAACAACAACTTGACATAAAATTTAACGACTCAGAATTGATGGCTTAAAAGTATCCATAAAATTAACAAAAAAAAAAGAAAAAACAAAACTTCCAAAAAATCAACCTACAAAAAACCCCAAAGATCCTGAAACCAAAACCCATTGCAGCAGCAGTTTCCGGCAGCAAAAGTGGCAGTAGCTGTGACTGCAAAAACGAAAGGGGAAACAGGAAAGGACAAATTTCCAAAACAATTTACAAAAGCAACAAAAGGATTATCATGTTGAACGTTGGTGTTGGTAAGTATTTTGGTTATTCAAGCTTCCTTCTCTTTGTTGTTGCTGCTGTTTTTAGAATTTTAGATTTTCATCCATTGTTGCTATTTTTTGGGCATGTGACATTTAATTAACACTTTGGGCTGTGTGTGTATGGCTGTGTGTAGTCACTTTGAATTGCAACAACAGTTTGTGTCATCTCCATTCATTCTCTGTACCTCATCTCCCTCTCTCTCTCTATCATCTCTTTGTGCCGAACACTTTTGTTTGTCTTTGTTATTCCATTGCCCCATCAATGTTGACCTTTTTAATTTAATTACACTTCGTTCTATTTGATATTTTCGGTACTTCCATGTTTTGTCCACACAATTGTGTTTGCCAATTTTGCTCGTTTATTTTGTTTGCTTTGGTTTTTTTTTTTGATTTTTCTGCTTGGTTTGGTGGTACTCTTTCTATAACCGCCATGTGGTTGAGAGTATTATATGTTTGCTTTAAGCCATTGCAATTTTGATTTCAAGTTCAATTGGTTTGGAAATAGATTGTTTTTAAGAAAATATGGATATGAAGCTTTAAAGGCTATTTAAATATAATTTAAGAAGGTTAAACTAAAGTTTCAAAAGTCCTTTAAAAATATCTTGACAATAATCGAAGTGTTTATCTCTTATAATCTTCCACATCCAATACTTATATTAATATCTTTATACTTTTCTAAAATATTGTAACTTCAATACTCTATAACGACAACTACAAGTAACTAAAATATTTTGTCAGGAACATTTTATTTAAGGCTTCAATCTCAAAATATAGGAAAATACTCCAATAGTCTTTCGAAAATTTTAATAAACTTAGGAGACTTGGATGTAGTTTGCGATAGTAGTTTAGACAAATTGATAAAATTTAAATGTCCAGAATTTTCTTTGAAAAAAAAACCTGCACTTTTGGTTCGGAAAAGTATTAGAAAAAATGTACGGTTTTAGCTCCGAAAATATCGAACATATTCATATTTTAATGTCAGAAAAAATTTAAAAAAAATAGTTGTTTGCGACGATAATAGCGTCAATCAACCACCCAATGGACAATTTAGCTTTCGGCAACATGCCGTTTACCGCATAAGGCAAATAATTCTCATTCACTTGGCCAGTCACATATAGTGTTCGGTTTGAGTTAAGATGAGACAGGCTTGTTACTACAGGGGACTTGCCGAAGGGAATTGATTTTCCGAATCATTTTCTGTGATCTGTTTTACCTTTTTGGATATGGCTCCCATTAACTTGAGTTGCCTGTAATTCATGTACACTGGGGCTTCGGCTCGCGGTTCCGTCGGAGTTTTGACTCACTATTCTTCAGGAGTTTCGGCTCGCTGTTTCACCGGAGCTTCGGCAAGCTGTCCACGGGAGCTTTTCTTAGTTTTACCGAAACATTGATGGCTAATTAGAATTAGGCATAAATCGTAGATCTACCTAAAGCAGTTTCCTAGCAATTATAGGCGAACCAAACAGCTATATCCGAACATAAGAGCCCGAACGAGTTGCAATCCATCTGCGGAAGTATAAACGTTGGCTTCCGAGCATAACCACAGTGAGTTGTCGAACCCTAACGAGTTCTGATCTATCAGCGAAAGCCTACACATTTGCTCTTGAACATAACTACAGTGAGTTGCCGAACTCCAATGAATACTGATCCATCTAAGAAGGCTTGGACAGCTTCTTCCGAATATACCACCTGTAAGCTGCCGTATCCGTACAACCTAAGACGACACAGTGAACTGCCGTCCCCAAACGATTATATTACAAGTCCCCAACCCCTCTCCGAAGACCTGAACATCAACATGCCAACCACCTACATCGTAATCCCTGATAATCTACCAATCCTCAATCCGATGGCGACATCATTGAAGTTTTCGATGAATTTTAAATAGTCAACATTCTGCCAAAAACAACGTAATTCCTGAACTCCTGCACAACAATAACATCTGGCCACCATCTACAAGTTCCCGATTACCTCCAAATCGTTATCATTCCGAATGTCAGCGTCACGCCGAACACAAATATCACAGTTCCTGGTCTTCCTCACATGTCGATATCCGACGGTTGCCCACAATTACCCTATCACCCTCAAATCTTTCCGATTGTCCACGAATCCTACACCGTCTCAATATCAAATCTATAATCAGCGATTTCCTACTAGACATATTTAATGTAGAATTCTCGATTATTAATTGACAAAATTTACTTTGAAGTTCCCAGCACCTCCGAGGTCAATTCGCCATTTTTTTAAAATAGACTAGTTAATTTCAGCCTTCCAGAAACTTTCGAAAATTCCCAAAACGTATCCTTAATTTAAAGATATTTTCACGTTTTTAGAACTGAATCACTGCCACAACATTCTTCATTTTTAATGGTGGCACTTAGATTTCCTGGTAGCCAAGTGTGGCCGTTGGAATCTCTGTTTGGCCTTTTTGAATGCCAAAAATTCGGACGTATTTATCTTTTGTGTGCATACAAAAGGTCATAGGCCAACAAACAGGTTTTTATTGAGGCGGTCGGTTGGTCGGTGTTCTTGTTGTTGTTGCGATTCTTTTAACGACTCACATTTGCTCCCACATACACGCACATTCCTGGCACTGGCACTCCTTTGGACTAACGATTCCAGGCAAATGGATTATTTCAGCTCCGTACATTAATAAGTAAATAACTGGCCAGGAAAACCGAAAGAAACAAAACAAAAGCCAACGGTGCTCACATGCATCCCTGCCCACACAAGCACACACACACACACCTGAGAGTGGAAAATACTTAGGCCCGACCCCAAACTTAGTTTCGAAATAAGCTTTAAACACATTCCTTGGACCATAACCAAATAACTTGGCCGACTGACTGACTGACTGACATGAGCCAGGTGGGGGCCGTAAAAGTATATTAACCTGTCATAAATTCCCCAAAAACAACTTGCACAACAACAAAAAAACTCCCCAACTCTTATCAGTCTCAGGTGGCCGAAAGACCGTCCCGAAGAAGTAAAAAGTGAGAGCGCATCACGCGCGAATGGGATGAGTTGCCCGAGAGAATGTGTCTGCTTTGTTTCTAAGTAAATAACCTTATAAAGTGGCATACTTTTAGGCACAAAGTGAAAATTCATAAATATGTACAGAATACATTAAGGATTCGTTTTAAGGTACGGCAGAGGCAGCAGGAGCAGCAACAACAGCTCGTGTTGTTGATATGTTCCACATAATCTCTTTTAATTATGCTGCCTCTTTTCATATTCCATTTGAGGAAGAGACAACAACAAAAATAAATCTGAAATAAAATTTTATGGCATGACAAATAAAGAAGAGCAAAAAAAGTCACAAAAGGAAAAAACGTGGAATTATGAGGCGGGTATGGGACGGGTAAATGCTCCAACAACAGGTACCATCACATAAAAGCTACTTAACATGCATTCACACAAGCCGGAGCCGTAAGTAATTAATGTTTTATTAAGAAATTAATCTCCAGAACTGAAAGACACATATTGAAGCGGATGGGAGGAGCAAAAAGGCCATAAGAAGGAAATGGAAAAACAAAGCCATTAAGGGAATATTTGATGGTAATCAGCTGTAATAATAGACGATATAAAATACCTTATCACAACGGGTTTCTGTGTAAAAGATTCTGTTAGATTTATGCAGGTCATTTCATCAAATGAATAATTGAATATCATGAGCCTGGCCCCAAAATATTCAATTAAATAATTTAATTTTGTTTAACAATTCTCTGTTTCTCCCATAACCTCCAAAAATATGTCATAATGAACTGAAAACATTCTCTGTCTCTCCCTCTCTCTCTCTCGAATAAATATCTCCCCTTAGAATAATGCAACATGTTTACCAAATACTAAAATAATTCTCCTAAATATCTTTCTTCTGCGAAATATTTACATTCATTGATCTAAGAAAACATCTCTCGAAAATGTCCTGCATTGTTTCGGAACACAAATACGTAAAGAAATGTAAACATGGTCTTAAACGAGCTTAACAAAACGAAAAACACACACACACACAGAAATACAATTCAAATATTTTCATAGAAAATTCGACACAAAGATAAAATGGGGCTTATGTCGCATCACAGGATGGAGAGAATTCAATTCAATATGAAAATCCCTGGGAAAATAATAACACAGGGGAAAATTTGTCAAACAGTGCATACTATTAGGCGAGTGGAAGAGAGAGCATAATTTGTGGCATGGAATTGAATTTCTGTGAGAAGTGGAATCAGTAGATTTATGGGAAATTGCCAGAGGACATCTACTGTAGAGTTGATGTCGCCAGAAGACATCTACTGTAGAGTTTATGTCCCCAGAGGACATCTACTGTAGAGCAGATGCCGCCAGCAGAAATCTGCCGTAGTGTAGATGTCGTCGGAGGACATCTACCATAGAGTAGATATTGTCGGAGGACATCTTCGATAGAGTAGATGTCGTCGGAGGACATCTTCGATAGAGTAGATGTCGTCGGAGGACATCTACCATAGAGTAGATGTCGTCGGAAGACATCTACCATAGAGTAGATGTCGTCGGAGGACATCTACCATAGAGTAGATGTCGTCGGAAGACATCTACCATAGAGTAGATGTCGTCGGAGGACATCTACCATAGAGTAGATGTCGTCGGAGGACATCTACCATAGAGTAGATGTCGTCGGAGGACATCTACCATAGAGTAGATGTCGTCGGAGGACATCTTCCATAGAGTAGATGTCGTCGGAGGGCATCTACCATAGAGTAGATGTCGTCGGAGGACATCTACTATAGAGTAGATGTCGTCGGAGGACATCTACCATAGAGTAGATGTCGTCGGAGAACATCTACCATAGAGTAGATGTTGTCGGAGGACATCTACCATAGAGTCTACTTAGAGCCATAACGCAATAGTGATACATTTGTGGGTATATAACCAATGTTATACCCCATTAAAAAAAAAAAAAAAAACCAAGTCTTCCACCTTTCCACATGCGTCAAATTGTTAATTTTCTCTCTAAATAT